AGTCAATATGGACTCGTGGATAAACAATACCACGGCGGCGGCGCTGATGGTGACGAAGCACACCGTATATATCTATAGTACATGATGTACGCATCTCGATATACCCGATCCGTATATACTCGGTACACGTAATATATTACACATTCCTGTCCGCGTACTGTTTGGGGACCCTGGGGAGGTTGGGTTCTAAAAGGCTCAGCCTATTCATTTTGCAGCCCATCCCCATCCCCATTCATTTTTCTACTGATACTCTCTCTATCCTGCCTGTATCCACTTTCTCGCCCTCGTTTGTCGCCGTCCGAGGTTCTCTTCTATAATCCATTGCGTGCATTTCTAGAACAAAGACAGATAGAAAGAGAGCAAATCTTCACGCTTTTCGGGTTACGTATTGTCCCGTCTCGCCATCCATCCTTCCATCCATCCCTCGGAGTAGACGGCCTAGTCAGTGGTGACATGGGAGGAGTGGTAGTTGCGGCGAAGAAAAAGAATTGTCCGCACAGTCGATTCATTTGATGGTACAGACCACCCATGTTCGCAGAGTGGGTGGGTGGTCGGTGGCAGGCAAGCTGCTTATGCACGGGCCCAACCTTGATCCTATGTAGATGATGGGATGCACATAGATAGACATATACGTCACCTTGGCGATTCTTTTACCTCCAGACGGACGGCCGTAAAAACTAAGCTGATCCACAAGCTTTTTTCTCTGTCGTCCTCATTTCCATAACTGACATTTCCGTTCTTCCATCTCCTGAGCGCTTGCCACTATGGGACGTCATGAATTCCACACTCATTATTTCTTTGGTTGGCCGTTACCGCCTGTTCAAAAAGTTCACCCCACCAATTTGCGGCATACTTAAGAGGCTGTCCGCCCTCTGAAACACATCGCCTCGGAAAAATGAATCCCCGTACGCGCTCGCTGGTGTACTCGGCACGGGCGCCACAGGGGTTGGTAGTGCAGACGAACTTGTTGGCGTTGCGAGAGGATTCGAGCCTGAATTTGCACTGGAATTGTTGGGCACCGTCGCTTGTGCGGCCGGACCGAGGGCTGCGGAGAGCGGTGTTGCTGGAAGCGGGACAGAGATGGGGCTAACGCCATTCACTGCTGTAGATACAGATCCTGTAGAACTTGTCGACACTGAAGATATTGAGGGTATGTTGCCGTTGATCATTTGTCTCGTCGCTGTGTTTGGCGTGCTTGCCGAAGAGGGGCCAGGTATTGGGGGAACAGGAATGATGGGAGGAGGGAATGGGCTCTGCAGCGGATAATTCGAGACCTGGGAGGAGACTGTGTTTGGCGGGTAAGGGGAGGGGTTGACGCCGTTAGCAGTTGTTGCGTGGACGGCATTGGAATATCCATTACCGTTTACCACAGCGCCGGCCGACTGGCTCGAGTTAGCACCGAAAACACTCGGGGGCGGCATCGCGGCAGCAGCACTATCGGTCAAATACCGCCAGGGACTTGTCTCTATCAATCTCCCTGCCTCACGACTCGCTTTCTGCACAGGTCTCAACATCGTTATGATCTCCTGTGACAGCAACCTTAAGGACTTGGCGATCCGCATCTCTGTCAGAAGCTCAATGAAACTCATCAAGAAGTTCTTGCAAAGGAGCCACAACGAGGGGTCATTTCGACCAATGCCTGTTGCAACGACGTGTACGCTAGGATCTTGCAGACGCATATTGACGAGTCGGATTTGGAGGGCTTCGCTGATCTCGATGCATAGTTTGCAGCGATAGACCAGGGTCGACCATAGATCGTGCACCGCCTTTGGCTGCCGGTTTTCTTCGGCCGCTTCAAGGCATCGCAGGAACTGTGCCTTTGCGATCGGAATGGTGTGCAGAGCAGCATCATAGGCCCTTGTCAGGGCGAGGAATATCTGTTCAAAGACCGCTTCCTCTTGAGCATCGGTGAGACCGGTGGCAGGATTGACTCGAGCTGCGAAGGAATTTGAAGGTGGGAGGGCGAAGGCTTCACCTGACCGAGGCGTGCTAGCTACCGACGAAGACGTGAAACCATTCATCGTATTCGTCGTGCGTGACTCTGAACGTGATCTCAACCCAGAACTGGAAGCAGACGTGAGCGTGCCACTGTTTGAGAAGGTCGAGGATGTGCCAGTAAGAGTCCCGCCGTTTAAAGTGGTACCGGTCAAGTGAATCGGAGTCGGGAGGGCAGCCGAACTTGCAGGTGGTACAGGGTGCGATTGATATGCTGGGATATTATCGGCAACTGGATGTTGAATGGCCGTGTCACTGCGCAATCTCCCACCTTGCCTTGAAGCCAGATTTCTGTCTCGGGTGGGTGTGATTGCTCGGACAGGCTGCAAAGGAGTGGCGAACTCCTCAGGGATGGTCTGGATAGGATGTGCGTTTCCACTGGACATCTGTCTTCTATGACCCAGACCTTGTGCCACTCTCACATCCGCCCCAAAGCTTTGAATTGCATTTCTGACTTCAATCATACTTCCGTAGAGCAGGAGCATCAGTGTCCGCACATATCGGGCATCAGACCCAGCGACAATTTTCTTGACGTTATCTTGCAGCTGTGCCGTTACGTGTGTGTAGGCCATGATGCAAGTTGCACAGTCCCTTCGAACGCTATCCTCAACTTTCTCAACCGCGTCTGTGTCTCCCGGGTCGACAAGATCGGCTTGTTCCAATGCTTCGTTGAGTCGGTCGACGTGAGTTGAAGCATTGAAGAAAGTAAACTCTAGTGTGCTTCTTCGTACATCCGTTCCTCTGATCGCAGCAATAAGACCGGATATCTGTGGATGGATCTGATACAGAGCATATAGGATCCCTTTGGCGCCTTCGATGACGGGGTTGTTCCATTCGGTCTCGACTTTGTGTTCCGGAAGACTTGACAGCCGTTTCACAAAGGCGAGCCTGTGTCTTCTGGGATCGCGTGGACTGCTGGGGCTTGAAGAGCTATTCCCGCCAGGGGAAGACAACGCACCATTGCGTTTCAGAACGGAACCGTGGCTAAAGCCTCGGAGATGGCTGTTCCGGTTCACCTTGAGCTCGTCAATACTGTCCAAGTCCGGCTTTTCTTTTCGCAGCATGCCCATCCTCTTTTGCCGAGCAGCGGCCGAGGCTTGCAGAACACTTTCGCTATTGCTCCGGTTTCTCTCATTATTTTGATTAATCAGAGGGGTAATTCCCGGCCGTCGAAGCGCGATCGGCTGCGTACCAGAAGTCATTCGATAGTGTGAGCGAGTCGGCACAGGAGGAGGATTTGGGATTGTTTGGATTGGTGATGATTTGTTGGCCTCTGATTCGGGTTCAACACTGTTAGTGCTGGGGATGACGGGAAATCTGCTGCTAAAGGATCGCTTGAGAGGCTTCGGTGTCATGTCCATTGGGCTCTCTTCAACTTGAAGAGACGCTTCCACATCGATGGGATTGATGACTGGATGTACTTCTCTCAGATATCGCTTGATCTCAAGAGTGATTGCCGTCTCTCTTTCATGGTCAGTCATTTCTGAGAATGAGACTTCGGATTCCTTGGCCTCCACAATCTTCTTCAACTTGAACCGCAGTGGATTCTCCGCGATCTTCAATATTTGCAGTTTTGTCATTTCACACAGCTCCGCCGGCAGATCTTCCACCCGGTTATGTACGATCGAGAAGACACGAAGAGACCTCAAATTTCTGATATCGCTCGATATCTTTCGGACCTTGTTTCGACTGATGTCCAATATCTCCAGCTGACTTAGCTTGTATACACCTCGTGGGATCTCTCGGAACACATTGGACCGGATATTGAGGTATCGTAAATGTGAGCATTCCGAGAACCGAAGGGGGATATGCCAGATCTGGTTGTGAGATAAAGATAGCCTTTCAACCTCGGCCTTGATCAGATCGACCACACTCTCCGGTAATCTTGCAATATTGGAGTGACCCAGATCTAATGTGAGTTTTGGCTTGACTGCGTCGCTCACAGCTTCACTCCCGGCCAGCGCATGTTCGGTGTCCTGCCTGGCATCCGCGACCTTTCTCCGGAAGAGTTCTGTCGTGTCTTCGAGCGACAGCAGGGCTGGCTCGCGGCCAATGGTATTTTGTGCCACAGTCCTTTCCTCCGTGTGGGGAGAAGCATCCTCCGTATTCGGGCCACCGCCTCCTCTTTCGCCATTCAACCTCGTATTCTCGCTCGCAGCTCGAGCTCTGTCGGAATCGTCATGGCGAAACGGCCGTCCTAACCGAGAGGCGTCTTCTGGACGGAGCATGGTCCGGGGATTAGTGGCTGGGGGCACCTCAGGATCCATGATGTTGGAAAGATTGTTATCTCTGAACCCCAGCACGGGAGTGGTGTCAATGGCCAGCATTGAGGCGACTATTTATGCTGCAGAATGACCTACCCATCCGCAGCATAGTCGATGGGCGGCATTCAGGTTGCAGGGCAGGACGTTGTTCTTGTTCTACCGGACAGTCGCCAGGGCTTTTCCACCAAAAGCTATGCGAGTCTAAAATTCTTCTCTCCAAAGCCCAGACAGACGGAGGCAGAGGGGGAACAAGTCGCTTGAAGTGTAGGCTACCGGAGAGTTCTCTGATCGATCTGCATTGTTTTAGGGATGAATGAGGGTGAGTTGTAGGACGAAACGGGGCGTAACGAAGGGAGGGGTTCGCGTGTCGGTTGGAGGCGCAGTCGATCGCTGGCACGGGGCGGCCAGTGGGAAAGACACAGGATGTTAATAGGGTCAATCTCTTGCACGGAGGATATAGAGAGCGCAGATAGCGACTTGGGGGACCTGCAAGGAAGTGTTTAAATGGCTGGATGTTGATCACAGTGACTGGGGGTTTCGGGGTACATGCAAATGGCGCGCGCCTCTAGTTTGTCTCCCTGGCCGTTAGCGCCACAAAAAAGACCAACCACGGCAAAAAGTCTCTTTCGTGCCTTGCATATTCCGGATCAACCTCGGACTATCTTTGCCGGGGGTGCGAGCTAGCCTCGCGAGGCTGTTAGACGCCACCGAATACATGGTAGCGGAGTATTGAGCAGCATTTCAGCCGCATTCCTGTTGGTCCTCCGTCACCCTGGTCTCGGTCCCGTAGCCGTGCAGTCCGCCATCCAAGATCCATTGTTCGTTGTCCTCATTGTCGTCCTGGACCCTTCTCCAGACACTCTTCCTTTCCGTCCCCCGACCCTTCCCCTTGCCCACACTGCTATCCTCTGGAGCTTTCCAAACTGGCCGTATGAGTTTGCCACTTGCCAGAAGAGGGTTGTTGCTAAAGGCGCCCTTTCGGTCAATCTCGCTCAAAGTCAAATGTTGATCTCCAGCATCACCTTCGTTGTCTGAGCCTGCGAGGTTCTCTTTCTCCCGCGCGAGAGAATGGGCTTTCTCCCGCTCGTACGTCTTCACCAGTTTGCCATTCTTGATGCTCATGCTCATAACCGTTCTTTGCTTCTCCCATTCTGGCCGATTTGCTTCCTCTAGTTCTCGCAAATACTTTTGCTGCTTCTTCAGCGCAGCTGCTCGCTGTACCGGCGTCATCCATTGCGTAGTCCCCGGCGTAAGATTTGCGTCATAATCGGCAGCCTCGTCGTAGACACGAGTCCGTTGAGCATTCTCTCGTTGAAACGCCAGCAGTTTATCTCGGTGCGCTCGTGCCCGCGCTGCAGCAGAAGAGGCTTCATCGCCTGATCCGCTCTCTGGGGTTGATCCACCGAAAATCGGCGTGCCTCTGCCTGACAGCGATTGTCCAGCATTGTGGACAGCCATTCTCTCGATCCCTCGTTCTTCTTTCAGTGCCTTGATCATGCCGTTCACCTGGTCTTTTGTCAAGATCGGCGAATTACAGAACGAGCAAGGTTGAAGTCCCTCGAGGGCGCAGATGATCTTGCCACAATTCAGACAGTTTGGGGCGGTTCTGAAAAGCGGATGTATCGAGGCATTGCAGGGGCATTTTCTCCTCTGTGTAGACAAGGTTGGATTGGTAGAAAGCTCCAGTGCCGCGATTGCGGCAGTAAGGTCTGCAACGCTCGAAGTGGTTGTCGTAGGGTCACCTCTGTGTGGCGTAGAAGTGCCAGATTGGGGTTGCGAGTGACTGGCATGAGCGGGCTTCTTGGATTTCTTCGACCGAACATTTGCGAATCCAAAATCAGATATGAGATTCCCAGACGCCGAAGGAGGAAGCTTCTGTGGAGTCTTCCCTGGCGACGCGTCTCGAGAGGCGACAGAGGAACCTGGGCCTTGCCCACTTGCCATGGTTTGAGGGACCTGAAGGGCATCAGGAGTCGAGGACATGTTGGGAACGTTTCGGTCTCTCGAGACTGGTCGATTGTGAGCCACGCCGAAATCCGTGTCGCTGTCGTACTGTTTTGTGTAACCGCCCGCGACATCACCATAGCCTTCTGGACGGCGCACTGGGCCTGCGGCATGGAGAGGAGGTTTGGCTTTCTTGGGACCTTTCTTCAGTGGTTTGGGCACTCCGGATCCCTCCGCGCTGCTGGCGGCCACTTGTGTGTTCCCCCGTCGTGCGTTAAACGACGAGATGAAGTCCAGAGCCTGGGGAGAGTCGCCGAGCAAATTCTTCAGATGTTCAGCGGCTGCATCTTTTGAGAGAGTCGACGTGTAGGCGATCACTTCGTTGAGCGAGTCATCATCTACAGGTAACAAGCGCCCAAGGCGTGGTAGCGCCCATGATTGCAAGTCGCCGCTCATGCTGGGCTGAAGTCGGCGGGCAATGATTTTCCGGGGGGCGAGGATCAGGACTGCTTTTCCGTTCTGGAGAAATCGAGTATGAACATGGCCAACTGATCCTGCCTAGCCCAAGAATGATTATGTAGTGAACGGGACGGCGGCGGCGGCGTTGGTGGTGGTTGAGTCACGAGTGTCGTTGTGAAAGGCCGAGGAAATTTCAAAATTCGGCAGATTCTTACCAAGCAGAAGGTCACCGACTCACCACGAGTCCCGTCCTCTTCGTCGCAACTGTCGGCTCAAGTCATGGTCATATAACATAAATCTGGATTAAACACTGCTGTTGCCTTGAGTTTTACTTTTTTGTGGATGCCACCTGGGTGATGCAGAGACCCATTGTACAGATGCCTTCCTCTCTCGGTCCCTCTACTGTGATCGGTTCTACATAGATTGGTCCGCATTATGAGCCACTAGCGCAATAAGCGCAGCTCCCAAGCCGCTGCCATCCTTCGCAAGCCCGATCCTTATCCGCTTCTCGTCCTCGCCAATGCCCTCAATTTCCCTGAATGCCTCACGAATATACTCCTCGAACCCGGGATAATACTCGACCAGACTCCCATCCACGCCCACGTCGACTATCTCGTCTTCTTGTAGTTTGTTGGTGGAGATGATCACCCCAGCAAGGGCGACGGCGCTCAGTCTGGCCGCCCGTTTCCCAATCGCATGCACAAGCATCTTGACGGCCACACAGTCCTCGGTTGACGCGGCTTCTACCTTCAGGTCCTTTTCCAGTGTCTGCTTGGTGATACGCAAGTGGTCTGAGTGGTCTTCCTCAACAATGGAGAGAAAAGAGGTGTCGATGCCCCATGTCTTAAATAGGGGACTGTCGTCAGCCACCGTCGTTGTACTCCTAATATCGTTGTCAAGGGACGATGTGTCTTTGAACAATGCGACACCTGCAGCTGGGTGCTCGTAGAGACTTAGCAGAGCACGGCGCAAGATTTCGCCCAGGAACATTCCTGACACACGCTTCTCGAACATTTGGATACCAGGATTCACTGACTCGCGGTCCAAGTCGATGTCGTACTGAGTGTTAGGCAGGACCGAGAGGGCATTGTCGAAACTACCCCACTCTGTGTTGATCACCATGAGCCCGGTAGATGAGTCATAATTGGGAACACCACCCTCTGCTTCATCCATGGCCTTCATCTTCTTCACCCTCTCCAGCTTTTCAACGTAGGCGCCATTTGTCCCCGTGCCGAAGATCGCGCCGATCAATGTACTGGTCTTGCCCGGAGAAGTGTATGACCTCGCCATTAGCGTACCGACGGTGTCGTTCACGAGAGCCGCCACTCTCACTGGAAGGTTCAATGCGTCAATCTCCTTCTGCAGCAGACCACAGACGTCCTGTCCGACAGCTTCCTCGATGTTGAAACCCTTCGTCCAACGCATTAATCTACCCTTGTTGATGCCCACTTGATTGACCGGAAAGCTGAAAGTGAAGCCCAGATCCAAAAATTCGACCTCGCCAGGTTTGTTTTTGTGTGTTTCAAAGTGATCCATGTGGTGTGTTTTGAGGAAAGACTCGATCTGTTTGGCAAGGAACGAGAAGAGTTCGTGAGCCGTCTTTGCTTCCATCAGGGCTCGAGGGACAGCGACTTTGGATTGTTGCAACGAGAAGGATTGGTTACCATGAAGCGTGATTGAGCATACTCGGAAGTTGGTGCCGCCTAGATCCACGGCTAGATAAACACCCTGCTGCTGTTAGCTGAATCGCAATGCGGTTTCTCTTCCTACCTTTTCTGTGCCATTGGGGACCGATGTGACATAGGTTGGGATCTGGCTGATTGAGGTCCCCTGCTTCTCCAGGCCCTCTTCCATCTCCCGCACGAACTCTTTTACACCCTTGTTTACATCTTCGGCGGTGTACTCAAATTGTGCGACCATGCGCTTGACCTCTGCTTCCAGCGCCATGTTGGTCAAAGCGTGTGTAATGGGCAGGTCTGAAGTGAAGGGAGACTTCGGTCTGCACTGGGTGCCCGGTTCCAGTAAAGCAAAGTACGCTTCTTGACGGTAGACACTGTCACCAAATGGACTCAGAGGATTTCGCGTCGGTTGGGGAGGAGCAGGAGCAGGAGCAGCAGCAGGAGGAGAAGGAGGGGAAGCCCAAAGGCGCGGCTGGACGTCTCTTGACGCGAGAACCTGAACGAGCAGAACGACGAGGAGGACCAGGCCCGAGACAGGGTAAAGGAGAGAGACGCGTGAAGTGGACAAAAGTTTGGCTCGCGATCTGTATTGTTGAGTACCGGGAATCCAACTAAGACTCCTCTGCCATAAGGTCGGCTGCTGGGCTTCTTCCTGAGCAGGTTGAGAAGCCAGCTTTGCTGTTGGCATAAATGCCAGGAACGAAAAGTGAGGGGCACGGGACACCTGCGCACAAAAGCTTCCAATTCTCAGCGAGGGGGAGAGCCAGTAGGAGGCTGAGAGGTGAGGACGTAAGCTAGGAAATCTAGGTAACGTAGCGTAGCATATGCAGATTGTGGTGTGGTTCGTTGCCAAAGCATGGTGATGGGATGAATTGCAAGCTGCTGGGCGACAAGGCATGGCGGCCGATGATGTCGTGTGGAAACTTTAGCGGCTACCCATCGCACCCATCTCGCCAGCTTGAGGGGCCCTTTGCCGACTTTGGGGGCTTGGGACTTTAGGGGTGGGTCCCCCCGGACCGCTCTCAATGGTCCGTTGCTGGGTGTAGTGACGCCCTTTTACTTGAACAGGCACGGGGAGGGGAAGCGCCATGAGTGCCCTAGGACTGCAAACTCCCTGGCCTCGTCCATACAGAACCAGCCAGCGACGTAGTAGGTGCGCAGTATGTGCTCATGGACTCATTGTCGAATCCTCTGCATTTGATAGCCCCAGACATTACGGGTATAAACTATGTATGGGTTCCAGATCATTTTCCGTGGGGTCATTGTTACTGTTAGTACATCTAGCACTGAGAGTGCTTTCTTAGAACTGTCACCTTTTCATGCTTGCCTTCTCGAGGTATAGCATTGCTGTGTCCACGCATGCTGTGAAACACCGCCCTTCAGAAATCTCTGAGAGGGGTCCCCAAGAACCAAACCACCAATTTTCCCCCAAAGTTTCGTTTGTACCTTGGCCTTGTCCTGAACGCCGAAAGAAGTGCCGAAGAAGTGCACGTTCCGCAAAACTCCTCACTAAAACAGCATGTCGCTGGAGTCATCATTGCTTGCCTCTCTGTCCATCATTTCATAGTCGTCCATCGTCTTCCTCCTCTTGACCTCCATTGTCCGTTGTTCCAGCTTGCTGACATCCAGTGCAGGTGCTTCGGAGGCATTGTGCCGGCCTCCCCAAGTGAAACGTTTGATGAGACTTGACCGTCGCTTGGGGTCGGCACTTGATCGTCCAACATAGGTTGAGGATGAGGAGGACCGTGTTGACGTGAAATAGGATCGTCGTTCTGAATTGGGTGTCATTGGTGAGTGAGCCTTGTCACGAGGAGATGGTCGACTATCTCTCAGATCTTGCAGCATGGGGTCGTCGTTGCTTCCGGAACTGATGTCACTAGGATCGAGGTCCCATCTTGAACTGAACAGCTTCATGTCTGGATCTGTGGCATACAGTGTCTTCAAGTCGGTGACGTCTTCTTCTCCTCGAGGAGCCACGCTCGCACGCCTTTTCCACATGTGCCACAACAAATGGTCGTTTCCAAGTACTTCTGTCAATGAGCTGTTCGATTGTTCCTCGGGCTGGCTTGTTGACATGGGTGTTGTCCTGCCACCAACAAGACCTTCCTCGTCCGAGTTGCGCTGTAAGTCCAGGTAGTCTCGGACCCAACCTTCCTCGCTGAAGGAAGGAGGATATGAGCTGAAGTCGGCTAGTTGAGGCTTTGTATAGTGGTCACGACAGTCTTCGAGGGGCACTTCGCTTGCATCACTCGCATCTGACCACCAGCCGAGGTCAGGCCTCTCATATAAGCTGTCCCTCTTCCATGGGCTGTTTTCTTGGTCCACTCGATGATTCTCATGGCGTTGCTGCCTCAGCGGATGCATGCGGATGACATTCTGAGTAAGCCAGGCCGGTGAACCAATGGCACGAGACTGCCTGATTATGCGTCCTTCATTCATAGGTCCTTCGCAGGCCAGAAGCATTGACACATCACTTGTCCCTGACATGCTGTCCGAGTACTTTCTGTTTTCGTTAGGTGGGAGACGGGCAGTCCTGCTGGGTTCAATCGGGCAGTCGTAGGTTTTATCTAGCCTATAGCCACCGCCTTTGAGTTCCACGTCATGCAACTCTTTTGCTGCACCACAAAAATCGCCATTGGTATCTTCCGCTGTTACTGTGTAGACGTAACACCTAGATGTATTAGCGTGGCCATCAAATTTAAGGCAAAAATTGCAATCGTCTTGATTCATGGCTTCATCATCAAAATCTGGCTCGGATCCAAGCTCAAACCCATCCCTCGCTTCCGTCTCTGAGTGGCATGGCATATTTGGATGATGCAACAAGTCCCAGAGGGAATCGGGCGGTTTGTCGTTTGGACGGCGCAGAGGTCGAAGACTTCGAGCAGATGCGTGACATCGCACGCCATTCATGATCGTGAACCAGAGATCCTTCTGCAGGTTTTCTGCAGTTTCTCTCTCCCTGTCATGACTTCCAGACCCCGAGTTAACTGATCCTTCAAGCTGCTGTGGTGGAGCACTAGACTCTGAAATGCCGAGGAGAGTCTCCAAGAATCTGGAAACAGTCGGAATGAATCTTGCCTGCTCTTCGAACATTTGGATGTAATTTGGGGTGAATGTAGCAGGGGCGAGGTCGCACAGGCGCAGAGTGTTCTGATCAGTTAGGCATTTGACACCTGCATACAAGCGAATGGGTTTGGAGCATATACTGCCACGCACTCCCGCGTCAAATAGCGCGAAAAGGACGTCTTCGTCCAATCGTGGTCGCTGCTCGTTAGCCTTCCTTGGTACCTGTTCACTTGACGGTGAAGGCTTGGCCGCGAAATTTATAGTCGGTGTAGACTGCAGCTGTAGGCTCGCCAGAACAAGGTTCCTGGGTGGGTTCCTGTCCACATGCTGGCTAGTCAAAGAACGATCACCTAGACCATTCCTTGGTTCGGGAACGGCGATGATCTGTCCCTGTTCGTCCAACAGACTCTCGCCAGTAAAGTGTAGACGTAGGTGCACTGACTCCAACTCTAGCAGAGGAATCCTAATAGGAAAGGATGAAGATGAATGGCAATCGAAATCTCTTCGGCTCTGAAATGCTGATTAGCATTTATGCAGAAAGTTAACAGTGCCATACACAAAGCTTGAAGCTCATGTCTAGAACCCTCTCAGCCTCAGTGGTACTGGTGTGAGTGGATCGTATTAAAGATGCCTCATATCCGAGTTGCGCCCACATCTATGTGAATCGATGAGCACGTCGTGCGAAAGGTGTTGGTTTGAGATGAGGCTCACCTCAGCACCTTCAACGAGATAGACAATGCTTGCGTTGACATCTTTCAAGACAATTAGGCCAAGATCTAAGTCATCAGCAAGAGAACATTGCAGGGACAGAAGAAACGATCTTGCTCTAGGAAGCCATAGACGACAGGGCTGAGCTTGTTTGTCAGATACCAGTGGAGGGTCTTGGGAAGCATCCTTGCAAAAGACCTTCACGCTTGTTGAAGTTAGCATGCGAACATCAGATTTTCGGTGTACAAAGAGACTTCTTTCTAGCTCAAAGACCGTCTCACACATTCTGGAGGACCGGTCTGTGAGTTTCGGAAGGGAGAAAAACCAGGTCTTCCAGATACCGAACGGGAAAGACGAGGTCTAGGAAATTGCGAACAGTACGTGTAGTCTTCGGAAACGGCGATTGATTTTTCCGGCTGCGCATTGGAGCAGCGAGCAGCTTCGGGTTGTTGAGGATCAGTATCTCATCATTCTCCACGCCAACTATGGAAATACCTAGTATTACGGCCAGACAATCCTCGACTGGGTGACGAACTACCTTCTCAATGCCATACAAAGCAATTGGTCCCATGTCGTTGCGAGAATGATCCAGCTATTATAAGCTCCCAGGAACTTGCTATATCACTGCCATCGTTCAGGCAATGGCTCGACATTCGTTATTCCATCTGCTGCGGGCAGGGTTCGTACAGCAAACGAACCGGAAGCTAGCCCTTGCGAGACATGTCCTAATACGGCCCTTCCACTCTACTCAGGCCTCTCGTACGGATGGAGTCTACAAAGCGCTCACAGAGATGCGGGTCAGAACACCCTGGATTCAAGCACTCCGAGAGAGAAAAGAGGCGGAGAACCACACTCACACCCCAGCGGTGGAAAGTGCCAAACCAGCCCTGGCACCCAAGAAGATGTCGGATAGCTACGTCAGCCTTGTGCTGCCCCTCTCTGTTAGTACTCCCCAGTGCTCATGACGTTTTCTCCATTTGCCAATGGTTGATATGCATTTCTGTAGCAAGACCCTTGGCTACTCGACACCTACGCCAACTATACGGGTCAAATCCGTATCGGTACCCTGCTCATGGACCTGGACGCGCTGGCCGGGGTCGTTGCCTACAGACATACTGGCGAAGGAGTCAGCAATGTGACTGCGGCTGTTGACAGGATCACCATCAAGAACCCTATTCGAGAGATTTGTGATTTGGAGCTGAGTGGACAAGTGACCTATGCTACCGGAAGGAGCAGCATGGAAGTGACTCTGCAGATCGCCAAAGCGCCAAGCCCAGGTCGACAAGTCGCACCAGAGGACGTTTTCATGACGTGCGCTTTTACCATGGTGGCACTGGATCCTAAGACCAAAAGACCTGTTAATATCGCTCCCCTGGAAGTCAACACCCCAGCGGAGAAGGCGCTGTTCGCCAAAGGCGAGGAAAACTACAGAAACAAGAAGACCATGAGATCTGCACACATCTTGACCAAGCCACCTGACGCAGATGAGTCGGCTCTAATCCACAAAATGTGGACGGATTCTCTTGCGTATGCTGACAGCAGGAACCCGAAGAAGCAGCCGGCCAACGTGCAAGCCATGTCGAAGACCACAATCCACAGCACGCAGATAATGATGCCGCAGTATAGGAACCGTCACCATTTCATGATCTTCGGAGGCTTCTTGCTTAAACAGACGTTCGAATTGGCGTTCACCTGCGCCGCGTCTTTCTCACACACTCGTCCACGATTCTTGAACCTCGATCCTAGCACATTTGAAGAGCCCGTCCCCGTTGGTTCAGTGCTCTACGTCTCAGCAGGCGTCTCGTTTACAGAACCTCACCCCAGCGGCGGAACCCGGATCCAAGTAATGGTTCGGACGCACGTCCGGCCTGTTGAGCACCAAGATCAAGAAAGGAAGTCTACAGGCACGTTCTTTTATACCTTCTTCTCGCCGGCAGACGTGAGCGTTTTGCCGCAGAGTTACTCAGAGTTCATGCGGTGGGTCGCTGGAAGAAGACGCGCTGAGAGACTGTCAGCCATGCTAGAGGCTGATCCGAACCTTGTGCTGGGGAGTCTGCATGATGAGAATGTGACTGAGTGATCTCTCAAAGTTGCCGAAATGATCACAGCTTCGAGGGGGCAAAGAACTCGATCTCTGACAAGAGTTGGCTCGAGGTTGGTTGTCGCTTCATGTTAGAGTTTCCAGGTCCGTCCTGGACCAAGGACTCTAACGAACAAATCTTGAAAGAGGCATGTCTTGAATTTGAAATATTGGGAGGCAACAGCCCTGAGAGGGGCTCTTCCATCTCCTCTTGCTTACTCCAGACTGAGGCGAGGTGAAGGAGGAGTAGTACTTCATGAGAATGTGAATGTTTGGGCGCATTCAAACGTGTTAGAAGGCCATAATAATAAGGGCGTGGAATCGACGTGGGATAGTAGACCGCTTGCTGTGAGAGCGACGATGCAGCGCAGACCAGAGCCAATAAATATATTCATACCATAGCTGGAAATGAGCTGCAATGGTGATGTCTTTTGGGATGTATGGCGGGGCTCCTAAGAGTAAGAACTCAGGAGAATAGATAGAACCATTTCTGCCCACTATCGAACCGATCCAATTCCGTTGCATTTGGAAACGAGGGCAATGGCTTTGTTCTTTACGACGCTTGTCAACGCAGGGTAGGAAATAGGCCAGAGAATTGGGACCGATGACCTATCGTTGGAAGCAAGCGTTTGCTGGGTGATGGCTGCTCGGTATCATCTGGGGCAAAGTCGGCTGGGGTATGCTAGGATCAAAGAGCACGTTTCTCCTCGGAAGACATCGGGTTTTGTTGCTTGAATAGCGCAATGCACCGGAAAGGTCGGCAAGATTGTGGAAGCCATGCACTATGCTGTCGTCAGAGAAACAATTGGCACCTGCGATATGATCTTGAGTGAGTTGTTGCGCTAAAGCGGTGCGGCTGGACAGCTCTTCAGCTTCTGGTATTGAAGGCTTTGGCTGGGAATGCCCTCTTAGATAGGCGACCCTGTGATCATGTTGAGGGTTGATGTTGTTCTTGACCCCATCATTATGTAGGCGGAAGATGTAATGCAGTCAAGGGTCTTTGGCACCCTCTCCCTGTTTCCCTCTGCCCTGCACACTCTCTTCCCCAAGAACTTTGGCGCTGCCCATGAACAACGCCCCGACGTAGCCACCCAAAAACCGCATATCTTGAGCTTGCACGGCCGTCATCCTCAACAGGTTCTCGGTGTCTGCTAGGTGCGCATTCAATTGAGCCAACTGCGCGTGCAGATGAGCGTACTGCCGGGTTTTGTTGGTGGATGTTGTGTTTGTTGACGCGACCGATGAAGGTCGTGGCAGGAGTTGTTTGGAGGGGTTGATGGAGGTTCTGTCCATGTTGAAAGTGAGGAGGTCTGGAGGATGGTCCTAGACACGGAAGGGCACGACTTGGGCCGAAATAAAGGTGCTGCGTCTTGGAAATAATACTTTTCTGGAGCGTTCTGAGTTTGTCGAGACGCGACGCGCAGGTTGCACTAGCCAAGGCAAGGCTGTGGCAGTCGACGCAGCCTCGTCATCGTTTTCCTCCTCTCTTGCCTGACTGAGTTATTCCTTCATAGGCATATGACTTGAACATGTCCAATAGCAGGGATACCCTGGAGCCATCTTTATGTTCTTGATTTGGTCCAGCTCGAGTCTTTATCCTCGCACATGTAGGGGTCTGCACATTTGTCCACATACAGCAATTTCGCACGCTCCTGTTAAATCACACCAAGAAATGTCGTACGAGGCCCAAAAGGGGCATGAAATTTACCCTGTTGGTCGGCTTGCTCATTCAAACGGTATTACTAATGCCCAGGCCCACGGCAAGGTTTCTTGAGTTCTCGTCTGTGCTAGCAGCGTTGCCTCCGACTGTATGTCTGGTTCGATGCCTTTGGCTCTCGTCCAAATGCGGTAGTTGCTTGCCTGGAGATCAGCTTCCGGAGCCTACTTTCGCCTAGGGTGCTAGGACCCAACGCAGATCTGGGGATCAGCCGCATCGAGTCGTGAGCCTTGTTATACCCATCAGGGGGAATGGTCTGAACAAGGTGAATTGAGAAGATAATGGTCATCTCTACGGGCGCCAGAGGGCTCAAGGATGACGCGACTTTGGTTCGCTGCAGTCATTTTGAGCTTACGTCTCCGAAGCGAAGCGCCCTATGCTCGCATCTGCAACCTTGTTCTCTTGGTGTGCTTCTCATCTCTATAAAAAAGTTGACTGATTCTTTCAAGGGACCACCTTCCGATATGACCTATTCAGTCCTCCTGCTCGGCGCTACAGGCAAGGTCGGCCACAAAATACAGAAAGAACTGACCCTCCAGAAGCAGCATTTCTCGAGAGTGGCATTTCTCCTTCCGCAGCCCAATATTGCTTCCGATGAGGGAGTCGAGCACCCCCCTACCATACTGGAACGCATTTTCGGATACCCTTCCGATTCCGACTCCTATAGAGGTTTTGAGATTGTCATCTCAGCGGTTGAAGATGAGATTTGTGCAGAACAAACAGAATATGCTGAGGCAGCATTTGCTGCTGGAGTGAAACACTTCTATCCCGCCGAATGTGAGAGCAGCTTGCCCTTGTCAAAACAAATGTTTCGAGATGCTGCTGACTTGGGATCGAGATGGTCCTAACCTCAACCATCCTGACATCAGAGACGAGCTGTACTTCGCCGACAAGCTGGCTTTGCGCAAACACATTGAGGCGCTGGTCCAGGCTGATACCTCCCTCGGCTTCACGTATGTTATGACAGGCGTCCTCTCAGATTTCCTACTTGAATCCAATGTGTTGGGGTTGAACGTAGACAAAAGATCGGCAACTTACTTTGGGAGTCCTGACGCTAGAGTCTCAACAACACATAGCGATGAGTGAGTTTCCATTTCAACCTTCTCTTCTCCTGCAGAGCTGGTCGACCTAACTCTATCTTTGCAGTATTGCAAAATTCATCGTTGCGAGTCTCTTACCGCACCACCTCCCCTGCCTCAACGCAAGGCGGCACTTGTGCTTTGCTGGCTCAACATTATCGAACCTCTCTCTCTTCGATGCCATCTCCTACGTCCTTCGCCGTCCCCTAGATGTGACATATGACCCCCTCGATGTATCGTACGAAAATAAGTCTCAGCCGAAAGCTGCAGGCGATGAAGTCCGGCGCAGCTTTCGAAGAAGCCTCGGATTCGGTGGATTCGAGCTGAAAGAACAAGAAGTAGCTCAGAGTGGGAGGGAATTCTGGCACGAGGTCAAACCAAAGGCCTGGGCACAAGTGGTGTATGAATTCTTCACGAGCAAGGAACGAGGATCGGAGATGATCAAATGAGACTCGGTTTGCGAACTTTTCATTGCAGGTCAATGTTTGGCAGCTTTTGTGAGTCCCCTGTCTGTCGTGTACGCTACGGCTGGTGTTCTTGATCTTCGATTCTAACATTGTCACATCTATTATGCCAGCAGTAGCAGGTCACTAAATTACGCCGAGGATGGGCCCTGGACTCGTCCATCCAGCGTAAGTCCATGCAAACAGGCCAGCAACATAAGTCAAACTACTTTGCAGTGACAAGATATGAACATGTCGCAAATCCCCTGATTGCTCATCATTTCTGGCAGTGTTCAACCTTTGTACACTTCTGCGTCTTTAAAAGAACGTATGCGACAAACACTTGAGTATCTTCTGCTTTCAGAAGCACTGCTAGTGTATGCGATGGCACAGAATGAGATATCCACGTCAACCTCCTTTCTCAGGGCACAAGAATAGCTCGCCCTCTCACCTTGCCCGCGGAAAGGTCGTCAATGGCCTTCTGAAAGTCTTCCAGCTTATAGATGGACGTGTGCAGAACCACTTTCCCTTGAGCAGCCAGTACCATCAATTCGGCCAGGTCATTGTACGATCCCACTAGGTTGCCGATGAAGTTGATCTCGGTCGATATAATGTCAATGGTTGGTATATTGATGTTCTCTCCGTATCCAACAATGTCTATTTTCTCCCTTCAGCATCCCATCATATATATAGGGGGAGAACTAGAGCTCTGGAACCTTTCCTGCACAGCAAAAAGAGGTTTGGGAAGGAGAAATGACTTACAGTAATTTCCTGCTCGGCGGAGCATACGAACACCGGTAGACGTTGAACCGCCTTCGGCGACGAAATCGATCACGGCTTCTGCGCCTTTTCCTCCTGTTAGAGACAACACCTCTTTGACAAAGCCATCATCGCTTCCAGCCTGCACGACATGATCCGCTCCCAACTTCTTGGCCAACACCAGTGCGTCCGAATTCCTGTCGACCACAATAACCGTCGCCGCGCTGATGGCTTTCATGACTTGGATCCCGATGTGTCCCAGGCCGCCGGCCCCGATCATGACCACAAAATTCCCGGGTCTGAGCACCCTCGCCGCCTTTGCGCTGACGTGGTAGGCGGTGAGCCCGGCGTCCGCAAGGGCCGCCACGTCGGCGGGCTCCAGCTTGGGATTCAGCTTGATGACGCTGCGCGCACCCGTCCTGAGGTATTCTGCGTACCCGCCATCGACGTTAATTCCCGGAAAGACCGAGTTCTCGCAGTGCACGTCGTCGCCGAAGCGGCACGCGTGACATAGGCCGCAGGTCACTAGCGGGTGCAGAATCACTTTGTCGCCGACCTCGAGTCCCGTCACGGCCTCCCCTTTTGCATGGACCCAGCCAGCATTTTCGTGCCCGATGGTGTAAGGGAGCTGGACGCCCGGACTTCTCGGCCCACTGGCCCTCGAGGATGTGGATGTCAGTACGGCACACCCCCGCGGCGCCGATCTTCACAATCACGTCGAGTGGCGACGTGATTTTGGGTTCGGGGACTTCGGACAACTCGAGGTTTTTATGGTAGCCGACGACGCGCACGACTTTCATCTTGGCACCATCAACAAGATATGTATACAATATATATTGTAGCGAACTAGGGCGGAGAGAGAACGAAATCCCAATATGACAAGTCTCAGTCTCTCAGACGCGGTGTGGGACTGTGACGGACCAGCGGATATGTGATATGTATGGGTTAGCCCCTTTCGCAGGCAGCCTTGCCCCTGTAAGGAAGTACACTCCCTGAATAAGTCGAGAGCTTGGGTACCGGAGTACGGAACAGAGGCCTTCGAAGTCAGAGCAGACAGACGACCTTTTCCCAACACGTCTTCTTGTCCTTGGGCGATGGCTAAGATGTCGAGTTCTCTTCTTTCTCAGTGCGGTATCCTGATCTGCCTTGATGCCTATCTCTCCCAAGCTACCTCCAAGCGGCCCAGCTGGCAACTAGTCCCCTTTATTATCCAGCAACTATTCTCCCCGCGCCAGACACAGACAGAAAAAGAGATGAACGCGTCATCTTCTACCCAGTCAATCATGGGCACGGAGGAGCGGGGCAATGGGCACCACATACATATGGGGTTTGTAGCGCACAATGTTGCATTGCGCACACCCCTCCCCCTCTTCGCCGACTCGTCTCTGCAAAAGGGCCCATCGTTGACGTCGTCTTTGCCCAATGGGACATCTGGGAAATTCGGCTCTCAAGGACAAGCAGTAGGTCTCCAACAAGACCCCGGATCGAACCCTGAACTGGTGACTCGTTCGTGTTTTGCGGGGAAATGGGGGCAACTGCCGCGCATTCAATCCTTGCAGTGAATCATTGTTTTGCTTGCTTGCTTGCTTGCATGCTAGGGTCGAGTAGCTGGAAAAAGACACGATAGACTTGTTCGCTAGTCACAAAACATTCCCCTTATAATTGCCCGCCTCGTCCAGGACGTGCTGCGCTCCTTCCCAGGCTTTCCGTATGACTTGGGCGTGCCCTTCGCTCCGGACTCTGATATCACATCTATAAATCGCTCGTCAGCAACATCCTTTCCTCGAGCCGTCTGGGCGGAGTTGATAAATTCTTACTTGAACGGAAGTGGCCTTGCCGCAATCGACTGTGTAAGTTCGTCCTGGTCAACTTCGATCTCCCTGCCTTGAGCGTCCTTCGCTTTGGCGATGTCAAACGCCCAGAGAATCCGGGCCATGGCCAGAAGCAATGTACCCTCGGCAACGTGGATCCCTGGACAGATCCTCCTGCCTGCGCCGAACGTCCAGTGGTCGCGGTCGTGGATGTCACTTGCGAGTGCCGCTTCTCCCATCGTAAAGTTGGGATTCTGCCTTGATGGATCGAAGACGCGAGGGTTCGGGAACAGAGCTGGGTCGTTGTTCGCCGCCCATACCGCCAACAGGATGGTTGCCCCCTTGGGGATTATGTACCCGTCAATTTCGTCTTGGGCGCGAGCCGAGTGGGGAATTGCACCGGTCACCGCTGTCGGCATCCCTACCAGAATCAGCCTCTGTCCACCTCTCAGGGTAGTTGGAGCGGGCATGCGTACATCGGAGGGTTTCTTTCATGATCTGCCGTATGTATGGCAGGTTTTCAAGATCGCTTGGCTCAGGCAATCGATCAGTCCCAACGATATCGTCTAGTTGGACATGAGCTTGCTTCTGGACATCCGGATACAGCATCATTGCCTTGAAGGTTATGTGTTAGTATACTTGAGAATGAGACTTTCAGCTCAAGCAAAGTAATGCCCTACCTTGATGAACCCAGCTAGCTGGTTGCTCTGGGTATCTGTTGCTCCCTCCATGGCAATTCCAGCTATGTATGCGGCGGCATGGTCGGTCAAGATGGTACCTTCCTGCTTTCCCTCCCAAGATTTCTGCGCTCGAACTATATCTGATGCGAAGCCTATCGGACGGGACAATTAGGTCAGTAGCCTCCCCTGGGAGACAAATGCTTTGGAATTTCTTACTTGGCAGCGAGTTCTCGCAGGTCATTGTCTTCTTAGTATCGCTGAGCAGCTGGTGAAACTGTGCTTTCTCTCGACGAAAGATCTCTCTGGCGTCTCGATACATTGGATACAAGAACGGCGGTAGCCAGCGCGCAATGGATCGCAGCTGAGGGTACCAGTCAAACAACTGGCTTTTGTGGACCATGGTGAAGAACCCGTGGGCATTGTGGAGGAGCTCCTTCATGACAGGGTTGTCCGGGTTAGTGACGCGGAATCCGTACGCCATGCTGGTGGCAGCGCTCAGTGTCGTCCTCGTGATCAGTGCTTCAAAGTCCTGTGGGCGATTCAGGAGATCGAAGCAGAGCTGCTTCGTCTCCAGGTCCTGGTACGACGTGTACCGGGCCGCTTTTGTGCTGTTGAGGAACTGGTGGTAGAGTTTCCGCTCGACTTTCCACAGGTCATCGTAGCCTCGCATGATGATCCTCGAGTGCTCGAAGATGTCCTGCATAAAGAGGGCTGGCCGGTCTGCATAGTTGCCGCTCCTCTTGTCCACGAGTCTCTTGATCATATCGCCGCTGGCCAGGATGATGACGTCCTGGCTCCCCAATTTAAGGGAGAAAATCGGTCCGTCTGTTTTCTTCGTTCGACAGTTACCATCACCTCTCAAGCACGACTGCCCAAGGAGGTTTAAAACGCACATTCTTTTGCCCATTTCTGATGGTGCAGGTGTATGTCTTTCTTTGGGATCTGATGTAGATTTCCAATGATGGGCAGGGTTGGCGGCCCTTGACTCCTGTCAGCGAGAGGTCGGGTATATCTGGAAAAGGACGAATGTATACCTGGAGGCATATTCCGGTTTCGCATGCCAATCGACAACAGCCGGACAAGCAGAAAGCAGGCTGCCATTGACGCGATCAAAATGCGAACGTCCATCATGAGAAAAGCCATTCTTCGCACCTAAAGAGCACTCCGAGGAGGAACAAAGCGTAATCGAGACAGATGCTCGTTCGCTCCGTCTTTCATATAGATGTTAGAGACGAGGTGCCGCCTACCAATAGAGACGCGGAAATACCCCAAAATTGAGCTTAGTGATCCCTTGTCAGGCTTCCTGCATGGAGTACGCATGTCTGACATGGTGAAGAGATTAGCCGTCAAACACGAGCAAGCCACCAAACAATATGACGGCCGTAATCTAACTTGTAAAATGCTGCGATCGCCACCTGCGGGACATGCTGGCTGTCATTTAACAGCTGGATGAGCCTTGACTGCTTTGAGGGGCGAATTGTTGGGGTCTTCGGTTATCAGTTTGGCGGGAGTTGTCATCTTGTGCGAAAGGAGCCCAGCCTTGTCGATCTGAACTTCGAGCTCCCTGATCCATCACACTCTGACTAGGGAATACATGTCAGTGACAGGGCGCCGCAGCCTTACGCAGCAAGTCGGTATGTAAGTATTATGTCGCCCATCGCAATCTTTCCACAAGTCAGAGCCCTCGTCTTATGTCATGAAGCACACTAGAGTCCTCCCATAATTGCCTCGTTCAATCTATATCCCAGATACCCCGTAGCTCTGTCAGCCTGTCCAACATCGTTGTATCCAGGTCGCCCCTTGATCCTGGTGCAGCTTATGCTCCTGCGTAAATGTCGCTATCGAAGTCCAACGTGTCGATCTTGTCTCTGCCCTCTGCTTCCGTGCTCACCCAGACACCAACGCTCGTGCCGGGACACATGAAGTCTCCAAACCCGTCTTCGTCGATCTTGACTTCTTCCTTCTGCCAGCCCAGCACGTCGGTCCAGAGTTCTCCTGCGTGTTCCTTGCCCACGAACATCCGCTTTGTACCTGGTTCGGCGTTCGACATGACACAGGCAAGTCCGGATTTCCTGTCTTCAGTACCTCTGCGTACGAATCCGATACAGTTTGGCTGCTCGTCAAAGTAGTCGTCCTGGTCCCCGTACGCAAAAAGCTTCCTCGCGAGGACGAGGTGAGGCAGTTTCCCCCCGCATGTCGGTGGCTCTGCCTGCGTGCCCTTCATGCCATAGAGATCGCCGTAGAAGACGCACGGGTAACCTTCCCTCCTCAACAAGATCAGAGCGTAGGCGATCGGCTTGAAGAAGCCTTCGATGGGTGTCTCCACCGTCTGCCCTGGCTGAGTGTCGTGATTCATCACCACCGTCACCGCACTTTCAGGCCTGGCTTTTACAAGACTGTTGTCGAACACTTTTCGGAGGTCCGCTTTCTCGGTCTTGGAAATTTGCGAGAAGGAATACACCAATGGCGAATCATACAGGGTGAAGCGGTGGTGCATATGGTTTAGCCAGTCCAGCATTTCTTGCGTCTGGTCGGTCCAGTACTCCCCAACCAGAAACATCTGGCCCTCGCCGAACGTTTCCTCCAGGTGTTCAACCAAATCATTGGTGAAGCGTTCGGAGAAATGCTGGCAAGCATCGAACCGGAACCCTTTCAGCTTGAGTTCGTTAACTACCCATTCGCTCCAGTGAATTACGTCCTTCGCAACCTCTGGGTGGCTGTAGTCGAGGTCGGCAAACATGAGGAAGTCGGCATTGCCTGCTTCATCTCCCACGGAACGGGACCAATGCTTGTTCTCGCCGAGTATGCGAAAGATGCCCGTTCTTTCGGTACCTGCATCGTAGTCCGTGCCTGAAAAGTGCTCCCAGTTGTACTTTTGAGCGGAGTATTTGTCGCCGCGGCCAGGGAAATCGAAGCCCAGCCACGCCTCAATCTCAAACGCCTCCCCAATCTCCTTATTTCGGTCTGAGAGATCGATCAACCTCGGGAGAACTCTTCGACATTGCGATCGGGTCGGATACGGACTTACCACTCTGATCTACCTCGACGACTCTGCACTTCTCTTTCCTGTCCGCACCAGCCTTGTGATTCAGCACCGCATCGAAGTACAGTCCAATTCCCAGCTCCTTTGCTTTCCTGCTTAATTGATCCAGGTCCTCTCTAGGACCCCATTTGGTTGATTTGGAGCCTTTTTGATCAAACTCACCCACGTCGTACAAGTCATAAATGTCATACCCGTTAGCCTCGCCGCCGCCCTGACCTTTGCAGGCGGGAGGAAGCCAAACGTTGTCTATCCCAATATTCTTCAGG